CATTTACTCCTGTCTCAATAGTAAATCCGTCAGCGCTGACCAAGTTAACCTGGACACTGCTCTCGTGAAGGACCTCAAATCAGTGGTTAACTGGGGCAAGAAATGGCTTGTAAATTTGAATGACTCCAAAAATAAACTGCTCTCATTTAACCACCACAGAGAACTTCCCTGTCTACCATCAACATGGTTGATGTTCAACTGCGGAAGAGCGTCTCTTGGCCTCACGTTTTCGACTGACTTGAGGTGGAGCAACTACATTGAATCAATAGCTGCATCTGCTGCAAGGAAAGTTAGTTTACTGTGTCGTGCCAGAAGGTTTTTCTCGACAAAGTCCACGTTACACATCGAAAAATCTAACATTCGTCCGTGCATTGAATACTACTGCCATATTTGGTCTGGTGCCCCTTCTCTTCATCTTGAGGTTCTTCATAAAATTCAAAGAAGGATCTGCTATGTAATCGATCCTAACCTGGCATCTCGACTTGAGTCTCTTTCTCACAGACGTGATATGGCTTCCCTCTGTCTTTTCTACAAATATTTTCATGGCAACTGCTCTGACGAGCTTTTTTCCCTAGTGCCCTGACTACATGAATTTAAGCGTACTACTAGATTGGCTTTTAGGTCCCACCCTTTTACTGTTGAAATAGTTAAATGTAACCGTCACTTCTACTCCAGCAGTTTCCTTTCTCGATACTTCTTGACTGTGGAACTCTTTTCCATTTACTTGCTTCCCTGATAACTACAATCTTCAAAAATTTAAATGCAACGTCAATCGCCATCTTCTGATGTCTTGAACCCTGTACATCTTTTATCCTTTCTTCAACCTCCTATGTCCAGTGTTTTCTCTCACTGTCACTCTCTGTAACCCCTGCGTGCTAGTGGGACTCCCGCCTTGCTTTGGGTGGAATACTTAAAAAGAAAATGTCAAGTTTACCTGGCAGTTACAACAGATCTTTGTGATGTACTTTATCAAACACTTTAACAATCAAATTTTGGAATTATTTTTACATAAAATAAAAATGTTTTGATTCGTTTTGAGAATGAAATCTTATTACTCTAAGCACAAGTTCTTATTATTTTTTAATAATAATAATAATAATAATAATATATATATATATATATATATATATATATATATATATATATATACTTAAACTTATAGTTCTCACATAAATATATTCTGAAAATTTACCAACGTTAATTAGATAATACCGATTTTAATCGGAAAACTTATATAATAAAATCTGACATAGTGTAATTCAAGGGATACGACGTAAATATTGTTACAAAATATCAAATGAATTCTACTTATATGAATTTTTGATCATTAAATTGTTGTTTATGGCTTTGATAGTCGCCCAACAACAGATATTATTATTTTTTTTAAGTATTATAGGTATTTACCAGCAACAATGTCCATAGAAATACGGACTGACTCCATCTGAGATTTTTAAGGTTATGTCGAAATGATCTAAGGATGTCACCCTACAAGATAACTAAGAGACAGCTTCTTTCGGCAGTCACAATTAAAAAGTGGCTTCACAAAATGTAAGCAGATGCTGAAACAATTTGGCGATGTCAGGCTGCAAGGCGTCATCTTCATTGATGGTAAACTGTTCACAACTGAACAGACTTTTAATCATCAAAATGAATGTGTCCTTTCAACAAGTCGCTTCAAGAAAATGCCTCACAACCCAGAGACCGGCATCAGTTATGATTTGGGCAGCCATTTTAGAAAGAGGAAAATCTTCTCTTGTTTTTGTGCTTAAACGGTAAAGATCAGCAAAGCCACGTATGGTGATGAACAATGGAAACTTCAACAAGACGGAATGACGAGTCATACTGCTCGTATAACTGCAGTGGTGTAGAGGCAATTGTCCTGGATTCATCACGAAAGACCAATGCCTTCCCTTATCACCTGACATTAACGCGTTTGACTATTTGTTTGTAGGAAGTTCTTGAAAGCAAGACCTATTCTATCCCGCACCACAATATTGAAACTCTGAAGGCAAAATTGAAAAGATTATGGGACAATATATATATATATATATATATATATATATATATATATATATATATATATATATATATATATAACTGCACTGAAAATCTAGAAAGAATCATAAAATACATAATAAGAAAATCCTAGAAAAACACGCATGCCAAAACAGTAATAAAACTCATAAACTAAAATTAGATAAAACTAACGAAAAATTATGTGATTGTAGAAACCCTAAAGACTGCCCGTTGGAAAATAAATGCCTCACAGAATCCGTGGTATACCAATGCACTATCTCATCCATTGAACGTCTTCGCACCTCTAGAACGCCAAAAACCCATTAAACAGGTTTCGTGAAAAATCGGACGTAATCCAAGAAGGTCAACGAGAAAATTGGTTAAAGAGTCCGGAACCTCGGAGAGAACCATGCGAAAGGTATGTCGAAATGATCTAGGGATGTTGCCCTTCAAGATAAAGAAGAGACTGCTTCTTTCGGTGGGCACAATCAAAAAGAGGCTTCAAAGAAGTAAGCAGTTTCTGAAATGGATTGATGATTACACGCTGTAAGACATCATCATCACTGATGGGAGACGTCACTGTTTGAACAGCCTTTCAGTCAACAAAATGATCGTGTTTTATCAACAAATTGTCATTTAGTTCCCACACGACGTAAAAAACGCCAAGGACTTTTCTGGTTACCGTATATTTTTTCCTCGTTTTAGGTACTTAGAAAATAATCCAAATTTGAAGACCCGTTAAGACTAACCGTGAATCCAAAAATTCGGTTGAAAAATCTAACCATTTCAAAATCAGCTGATTCAAAGGATACATGGATTAACAATACAGTAATAATAATAAATTTATATATATGTTAAAAAACAATTGAAATAAAAAAAAATTATATATGTATGTTAAAAAATAACAATTGAAATAAAAAATTTTTAAAAATTAAAAATCAAAAAATCGAAAACATCAAAATGAATAAATTTATATATATGTTACAAAAACAATTGAAATAAAAAAAATCAAAAACAAATTTATATCTATGTTAAAAAATAACAATTGAAATAAAAAATAAAAAATCGAAAAAAATCAAAAAAAAAATTTATATATATATATACTAGCAGCATGTCCCGGCTTTGCCCGTGCTTGATTCAAAAATCGTACTACTCATACAGCAATCGCTATCACTTTACTTAAAATGTTTTTGCCCTTCCTTGCCTTTAAAGGAGTGCCCTTTGCCGTGCTGATGTTGCTACATGCCTTACTTCTTGCCTATATCACATTGCGAATTTTTTCTAAGCTCTAAACTAAACATTAAATCTGTTACGAAAAAGAACTAAACAAAATGAACACAAAACGATCAGCTTTAAAAAGGACTCGTAACTGGAAAAAACCGAATGAAAAAGAATGTTAACAACAATTACTTTTTCACACCCAACCCAGTTCTGCGGAATCAGAATCAACGTTGAGTTTAAGCAAGCGAATGAGCCAATTGGAGTAAAGTGCCATGCAGATTTAAATTTTTCCCACTTGTGACGAATGCAGCTATCGATTTTTTTTTTTTTTGCATGCTAGCATGCTAGTTAACATTCGTGTCAGTCAGCTGTTGGTTCTCACACTAGCCAATAGAATCTTTCTGCCTATTTGTGGCAGCCAGCTATTGGCTCTCACTCTGGCCAGTACAAAATGGCCACAAACTACATAAAACTGCCGTAGAAGCATGGAAAAATCGATTATTTCCACTATCGATGGGAGTTGGGAAATGCAAGGTCGGTCTTGGCCTTCCCGCTAAATTGGAGCATGTGCATATAAATTTTGGTGCAAATCCGTCGAAAATTGCGGCCGTGAATTTACACACACACACACACACACACACACACACACACACACACACACATCCTGCCTTTTATAGATAGAGATATTAAAAAAAAACAACTGAAATGAAATAATCAAACCTGCTGTAATTAAAAGTTGGTTGCTAAAACAAGTTTTTTGTTATTTTCAGATGTTTGTGTTTAAATAAAAGTTCTTCATTTATATGCGCGAAAACGGGATTTAAAAATACAAAAAGAAAGAGAGAGAACTGTTGAACTTTCAGCTGTATTCTTGGTTGTAAGTTAAAAGTGGATAGACAATTGAAAGCATTTCCTTTGAAGTTGCTGATTGTCGGAGCGGGATCCCGTTGAAGTGAGTGCGTTTATTGACTTTTAGGTTTCTGACTTAATTTATATTTGCTTTTAGAGGCTCCGATCTTAGGAATTTTGAGAAGCAACACGGAACGATTGGAGCGATCCTTTATCCTTTCTATTTGTCTATAGTTCATGTGGTTCTATTGAACTATATCTGATTGAATGATTTGTCTTTTTTTATGAATTATCAACATTTTGCCGGTTATTTAAAGCCAGAAAACATTTTCGATTGTAAGAAAATTTTGGAGATAATAACGATTTACTGAAACAAGTCCGACTAATTAACACATAGCTGGTAGGGGGAATAGGTGTATTCTTATCTTTTCCAAGGGTATTTGTGCGAAAGTGCATATAACAAACTCGACTGGAATTCAAACACGGTTCCCTGATTTCCAATTTCAAGTCGTTAACCATTACGCTACCTACACGTACACCCAATCTTACAGCACGTGGTATTCTGAATCGGTCACCCATCTAAGTACTGACCTGGCTCAATGTTGCTTAACTTCGATGATCGTATTGTTTAGTCACTTCCAAGCTGTGCCGCTTTTTGAAATCATCTCTATTTGGTCGACTGATTTGATTTTTTTACGGTTTATCAAACTTTTGCAGGTTATTTGAAACCAGAAAATATTTTAGATTGTAAGAAATATTTGAAGATAATAGTGATGCTGTTGATACAAATCCTACTAGCTAACCATCAACTAGGTTCATGCCTTTACCAAAGGTATTTGCGTGTAAGTTTATATAAAGAACCCGACTGGAATTGGAACTCGGCTCTCCATTACACCACACGAACACTCAAGCTTTACAGAACCGCGTATTCTCAAGCGGTCACCCATCTTGGTACTGACCAGGCTCTACGTCGGTTAACTTCGGTGATCGTTTGAGAACCAGTGTTTCAATGCGATATGGCCGTCATTTTATGCTACGTCCCTGCGGAACAAATTCAGTGAAATTTTGAAATTTACAAAATCACAGGAGAGGGAATTCTTTCTTGTTTGGGTATATGTGTGTGTAACTTACAACTTTCAAATGCAAAAAGTTAAAACATGTTGCAGTAACTTAAATACTTTTTTTTTTTACAATATATTACAAGTTATCAATACCAACATTATCTGTCTATATTTCTGAGATGAGGTATTATATACACTATTTATATTATTCGGACTATTGTCCTCATCTTTGTTGCAATATTTATCACAACTTTTCGGACGTTGTATGCTCCGACCTTCTTCAGGTGGTTGGAAAGTCGAACTGAACCCTTTATTTCACTCGCTGGGGTACACTGTTCTAGTTCCACGTGCCATGTCTAATGGATGTCAGTTATCATTTATCTCCTGTTAATTCCCCCTCTCCGAGTTCCCCACCGACACATGGCACAGTGGATAAAGACGTTGGTTAGATCCAGTGACAGGACTCAAAAAGTTGTGAGGTTCAATACGTGGTTAAGGCAGTGGAGAACTTGGAGAGGTGAATTAATAGGAGATAACTAATAAATGGCGTCCATTAAACGTGGAACTAGAACAGTCTACCCAGAAAGCGAAATAAAGGGTTCAGTTATAATAATTTATTCTAAAAGAAATACCAAATCTTAAAATGCGTATTTATTTTTGTACCAATCTCATGATTTTTTTTTGTTTCATAGATAATTCTTCAGTGCCGTCTTTGAGTCCAAATTGTTGGCGAAAATGGTTCTCCACTACTTCTTGTCCAATATAAATCTCAGCAACATTTTACTATTTTCTATCTGCTCTTGGATATATATATCCTTCATAAAAACTTTAATAAAAATAAATAGTTTAAATTATTACAATAATATTATTTATTATTATACAGTCCCCTTTTCAGGGCCACTCCCCCCCCATTCAAATTGTTAATCCCCATTTGGGGATGTGCCTCAGTTGCATCCAAATCTTGTTACTAATATCGATTTTCGGGTGGGCTGATTTTAAACTTAAACTGCTCCAATTTAACGGCAAAAAATACAAGAAAAAAAATCAAAAGAAAATACGTTCTGCGAACTTAAAGCAGGTTTTAGACTTTTTTAAAATATTGTTTAATTTCTGTCAGCAAATTACTTATTACGTCATGATAATCGATGAATCTGTCAACAGAAAAACGAAACCGTTTTTTTTTTTAAAAAAAAAGGTTCTTTTAAAAATGAATTACTTCTCAAAGTTTGATTTGAAGAAAAAAAATTATTAATGCAATGATCAATTAACTATGTTTGTGAAAATATTACATTTTGCTTAAAATATAGTGAAAAAACTAAACAAAAAGATTTGTTTACGGCCTGTCAATTCAGTCGGACAGTCAACTTGTTTTTTAGCCACCGACCTTTACCCAGAGTTAAAAACCTCGTTCCATAATCGACATATTATCGCATCAGTCTGTTTAATTATGGAAAACTAAAAATGACAAAATACCATTAATCTGTTTTTTGTTTTGTATATATTATATATTGACATTAAACTATGTTACTAATTAACAAATTCTCGGAGACTAACAGGTTTTCACTCGGTAATCAAGAACTTTATCAGATTATTTCTTAACGTTCCTTTCATCTATATCTATAATTATCAAAATGTGTGTGTGTGTATGTATGTGTCTGTGTGATCGGATGTTGTTTATGCATTTCCATAGTTTTCATCCGAATTCTATTTTTTTTTTGTTCGATAGATAATTCTTCTGTGCCAGTTTTGAATACAAATTGTTGGTGACAATGGCTCTCCACTACTTCCTTTCCATTATAACTCTCAGCAACGTTTTACTATTTACTATCTGTTCTTGCATATATATATCTCATAAAAACATTAATAAAAGTAGTTTAAATTATTACAATAATATGATATATTATTATACAGTTCCCTTTTAAGGGTCAACCTCCATTCAAATTGTTACCCCCCATTTGGGTATGTGCCTCGGTTGCACCCAATTGTTGGTACTAATAATGATTTTCGGGTGACCTGGCTTTAAACTTAAACTGCTCCAACTGAACGGCAAAAATTCCCAATAATGAAAGACCCGGCCGAAGACAAGTTATACTGCTAGGAGGGTTGTATATCGTATTGCAAATGTAACAACAGCAAATGTTCTTAAATAGTCACGTTAGGTCGAGATATGTAAATCTCGACCTAACGAGACTATTTAAGAACATTTATTTATTTTTACATAATAAAAAATTATTAGAATTATAAAAAAAATATATTTATATATTATAAATAAAAATTATCGTATATTATTATTATGATGGTTCATGGAAGAAGTTCCTTCCTTGCAAGATTTAGAACACAAAAACGGTCCATTTCAGGGTCACCTCACATTCAAATTCCTAACCACCCATCATTTGGGGATGTGCCTCAGTTGCACCCAATTGTCGTTACTAATATTGATTTTCGGATGGGCTGACTTTAAACTTAAATGGCTCAAATTGAACGGCAAAAATTTCCAGTAATGAAAGACCCCGTCAAAAACGGGTTATACTGCTAGTATATAATAAATGCAAAACTTCAATGTTTAAAAAAACAAACGAATAATCTTTTAGAAAACATCGAATGGATTTTGTTAAACTTTATATTTCTCGTTTATAAAACAAATTACCATTATTATTTAATAACATTTCTGAAATGTCCATATAACATAATAATAAAGGAATTATTTTTAAAACATTTAAAAACTTTTACTAAATTCGTCAAGTTGTCCGAAACAATAAGCAACATCCGCCAGCAAGGCCTCAGATTGGGAGATTGGAGGTTTTCAGGTGCGTGGATATCACCTCGTAATTCCTGTTCTTCACAGGTCCACCCTGACCCGGGGTATTAGCACCTGTTAGGGCCCCAGCTATGGACAAATAGTGACTCCCCTCAAAAAAGAAAAAAGAAATTATGAAAATATAAAAATACATTTTCATAGCAAAAATACCAGCAATACATTTTTATATAAATAAAATTACACGATACATATTTAACGATACATATTTAGACATATACATTTATACATTTATACATATTTATAGTAAAATTACCATTTTTAAAGCAAAATGACCAATTTTATAGTAAAATGACCAACAATACATTTTATAGTAAAATGACCAACAATACATTTTATAGTAAAATGACCAACAATACATTTATAGCAAAATAACCAACAATACATTTTATAGTAAAATGACCAACAATACATTTTATAGTAAAATGACCAACAATACATTTTATAGTAAAATGACCAACAATACATTTTATAGTAAAATGACCAACAATACATTTTATAGTAAAATGACCAACAATATATTTTATAACCAAATGACCATCAATACATTTTATAGTAAAATGACCAACAATACATTTTATAGTAAATGACCAACAATACATTTTATACATTTATAGCAAAATAACCAACAATACATTTTATAGTAAAATGACCAACAATTTTATAGCATTTTTTTATAAAATGACCAACAATACATTTTATAGTAAATGACCAACAATATTTTTATAGTAAAATGACCAATATATTTTATAGTAAAATGACCAACAATATATTTTATAGTAAAATGACCAACAATATATTTTATAGCAAAATGACCAACAATATATTTTATAGTAAAATGACCAACAATACATTTTTATAGTAAAATGACCAACAATACATTTTATACTAAAATGACCAACAATATATTTTTATAGTAAAATGACCAACAATACATTTATATAGCAAAATGTCCGACAATACGTTTTTATAGCAAAATGACCAACAATATATTTTATAGTAAAATGACCAACAATACATTTTTATAGTAAAATGACCAACAATACATTTTATACTAAAATGACCAACAATACATTTTATAGTAAAATGACCAACAATACATTTTTATAGTAAAATGACCAACAATACATTTTATAGCAAAATGACCAACAATACATTTTATACTAAAATGACCAACAATATATTTTATAGTAAAATGACCAACAATACATTTTATAGCAAAATGACCAACAATACATTTTATCTGTAGTTGGAGGCATACAATCGCATTCACAATATATTTTGTTGAAGCCAAAGAACTGTTCAAAATATTTAGATTTCGGCGTTAAATAACCCATAGAGGTGTTGATATACCGCTAAACAAAATCAACCAACTAACCAACAAATCGAATTTCTGAGATGAACCATTGTCATCATTAGGACAACTTGTGTAGTGCTCATGTACACATTGGTCAGGTCGTAACTAGTCCTTGGTATGGCTGGATCTTACAATGACGTGTCGTTACTGTTAACAGACGCATCAGCTGATGGCGCGAATTTAACAGCATAAGAATATGAGATTGGTACAAAAATAAATACGCATTTTCTCATTTGGTATTTTTTTTAGAATAAATTATTATAACTGAACGCTTTATTTCGCTCTCTGGGGTAGACTGTTCTAGTTCCACGTGCCATGTCTGATGGATGTCAGTTATCAGTTGTCTCCTGTTAATTCCCCTCTCCAAGTTCTCCACTGTCGTAACCAGGTATTGAACTCAAAACTCTTTGTCTGTCATTGGATCTAACCTTTATCCACTGCGCCATGTGTCGATGGAGAACTTGGAGAGGTGAATTAACAGGAGATAACTGATTGCTGACATCCATTAGACATGGTACTTTAAATTAGAACAGTCTACCCCAGCGAGTGAAATAAATGGTTCAGTTCGACATTCCGACCACCTGAAGAAGGCCGGAGCATACAACGGCCGAAACGCTGTGATAAATATTGCAACAAAGATGAGAACAATAGTCCGAATAATGTAAATAGTGTATATAATACCTCATCTCACAAATATAGAAAGATAATGTTGGTATTGTAGGATTACCTTACTTTGTCTACAACTGTAATTCGCTTAATTCCTCTAGATGGCGTAGTATAAAAAGGAAAATG